AAAAGAAATATGGAAAAAGAAATGTAAAACTAATGTATATAAGCTTGTAATTGAAAGATGGAAAATGCTCCTTATGTTAAGTCACAAACTAAATGTTTTTAGAATTGTATGTCCCAAGTTCAAAGTGAATGCTTGGTGGACTATGAGCAAAAGAGCACCTATAGTTAAAAATGAATGTTTCCAAATGGTGAGGCTACTAACTGGAGGATGTTCGCTAGAGGTATTTACCCAAACCAATGTCATAAGGGAAGATAGGAAATGTACCCTTTGTAATGCTGGAGTTGGTGACTTAATACATTTTGTTCAACAGTGCAATGTTTTTACTAGATTCAGATGGTTGTTTAGAAATACAATGAAGGCAAAACTTGTTAAACTAGATTATGATAACTTTTACATGAGATCAGAAACTGAAAGGTTTTATATCATGATGGGATTACAAGAAATACCAGGTATAAATGATGAAATGGAGTTTACTATTAAGTTCCATAGCTGCAAAATGATATGCAATATGTATAACTATAGAAATGTGAAATTGAAGGAACTAAATTAATTTAAGTCAAGAACTACATGTAGCATTGTGTAAATAATACTTTTTATTACTCTTTCCTTGTAATGTAAATATGTTGTAAAAAAGAAAGTATTGTCACCAAATTGGTGGTTGAATAAATATACAAATACAAATACAAATATCCCAAGGGATATTCCCTGTATCCAAACCGACCGTGCATAACTGGTGTATCTCATACTTGAGTGGGTTTAGGGTAGATATAACCTTTTCCACCTTTTTCAAATGACAAGATATTTATATTTAACATTTTCGTAATTTTCTTTTTGTTCAATACAATGAAATTGTAACATTTAAACTAAAAAAAATTAAATTTTAAAATTAAAAAATTAAAACTTTTGATATTTAAACTTTTTTAAACTTTTGAAAAATTCCCGGGAGCGGGATGGATATATTATATCTGCCCGCATTTGGCCTGGAGCGGGACATATACAATATATCCTGCCCGCTCCTCAGATACGATATATATTCCCGGGTGATATCTACCCCAAACCCACTCAAGTATGAGATACATACATATATTCCCGAGGGAACGAAGGTAGATATGCATATCTCCCGAGGGATAAACCCCATTTCCAAACCGACCGTACATAACTACTTGATCCTATACCTAGTAGTTTCTAAAAAATGTAAAATGTAGATATTTTTTCAATTTTTTTTCAAATATTTGTTTCAAAACTTTTGTTTCAATTTTTTTCAAATTTTTTTGAACATTTTTTTCAATTTTGTTATTCAATTACCGGAATTGCCCGGGAGTGGGAGATATGGCGAGAGATATGGAGGGTCTGGATAAGGAAACCTCAAAATCAGGATACAGCATATGGAATTATTGAGAAACTGAGTTACTTATTAGTACTAATAGTTGGAACAATAGCTTCCTCAGTAAGGCCTATTTTACTATTTTTCTTTTTATGAATCAACAACATCAGTGAAATTCCCAAATGAACACCTAACCCAGTAGGTCTTAAACCGTTAAAAGTACTAAAGAAAATAAGGCTTATATGTTTGGGCGTAGCCAGGCAGGCAAAACAATTATTGCCTCACCAAAATATTACAGTTATATATCTATTCAGACTTTTTCAATAAAATCGCCGAAATGAACTCCAAATATAGTAACATACCGCATTTAACTGTTTGCCTCATACACATTTAAGTTTGTATCGCCTAATTTTTTTATCCTGGCTACGCCACTAATCAATAGTTCGGATCCCTTTTACAAGGAAAACTTAAACACCGGAGTTTCTCCCTAATAGCCCCATGGGTGTTTATTTGAAAGAGGTTGTGTAAAAAGAGGTTTCCCCTCTTTTTTACGGCAAATGGGCGATTTTTTCATATGGAGCAGAGCTTCCAAATAAACGATCAATGGTCGATACATTTGAGAAAAGGGTGGCAGATTCAAATCTGGTTTGTCTATATTTTCCTCTACAAAAACGCCCATTGCAATGGTGGCATTGACCATATTTTCAAAGGATATCAAATAAACGCCCATGAGCCGTATTAACGAGAAACTCCGCTACTATTAAGAAAGAACCCTTGATATTTTACTTACTCTTGGGGCTGCGAGTGCATCGACCAGGACCTACAATACACGTACAGTCAGAATTTTACATAATGATAATGGCCATGCAGAGTATTCATTCCGTCCACAATGTTTTATAAAAATATTTCAGAATTAAGGACTCCTGGGATACCTATTCTACATCATAAATACGAGTACATGGAACTTTTTTTCAATTTCCAAGTCTAAAACATTTATTTTCAGAAAAAGATGTGAAATCGTTCAATTAAACTGAACATGGATGAACAATTGGATTATTACTTTCCTTTCCATTTCAGGTTCATTAACCTTCGTCATTCATTTGAAGTTCAATTTATTTTTCATCATACTTGTGTTCAATTACTTGTATGAAATGGCTAAAACAACGCGTTGTAATCAAGCAAACTTTGACAAAGAAATGTAATACTAGTATGCAATTTTATGTTATGAACAATTTTTTATTGGTACCCCAGCATATAAAAAATAACTTACCATACAGAGAAGCAAGCACACGAAAGCAGTCTTCATGTTTAGTATCTCAGTTGAAAGAAAAGCGACTCTTCACTGTTAGAGCTGTGGTAGAACGTGTTGTCGCATTCAGAGTAATTCAGAAGAACACATCCTCCACGAAACACAAACTTTTAAAGATTTCCAATGATAGTTCAAATTGTATCAAGTTACAACTTAATTTTATAAAGCAAATAAAACAATCTGTCTTTAAGTGTTTTTTTGTTTGATGTGTATTGTATAACCTTCAACTTGCAATTGGCCGAATTGCACAACGGCAACTTCGTAGAGCCGGAGTAGCTGAACCCACCGTAATATAAGCTTATGAGAAAAACAACTTGCAAGATCAACTCATTGTGAATTGTACGGTATCCGTATATAAGATAACAAAATCTTCACAGAGCCTAAATATTTGACTTTTCAAGTACAGTTGATTAAATTGAAGCTGTTACAATAATGTAAATGTAAGCATATTCATATTCGAGATTGGACAAACAGACGGACAGAATGATAAACAATATCCCACACCCTATTTTTGGGACTTGTGGGATGACGAAATTAAATAGTTTAAAAGAAGCATTTTCCTTTTTAATTAGTTGATTCATAGTGTTTCGAAGGTCAGACCATCTGTTGAGCAATGATTTGATGATGTCAAAACGTTTTCATAGAGCCGACTATTGATTGAGGACTATGGCTACACCAAATATATCAATGAAACTGATTGACAGATTTCATTCAGAGTAATGTCATATTCTATAAAGGTTTCTTGTAGTAACACTTGAATAAATATCTAAAACATGTTAGACAATGATGGTACTCTAACCTCGGGCTAATTACTTTGAACATCCTTCATTTAAGAAAACATTAAAATATGTTACTGACAGGCATCGGATTACGTGTATAGTTCTATATCTTTCGTGTCATGGAATTGATAGATTTAAAAAAGATGTTCATTCTAAAAGAATACATTCATGTGTCTGATATGGAATGATGCCAATTTTCAAGGACTATCTTTTACTTATCTCTACTCTTTATGTATCTGTGGACATTAAAAAAGATGTGAACTGACCTATTATACTAATTTCCATTTGGTAAACTTACATGTATACTTATATTACTATTCAAAAATAAAACAAAGAGAATTCTTTTGGAATTAATTTCTTGATTTGGAAGATTTGAATTTGTGTAGGCCTAGAAAGATTGTTTTATGCATGAAACAGTGGTGTACTTACTACTTCCCCACCATGTGAAATTGTAATAATTCAAAGACGAATATATAGCTGGTGTTCATGAGATAATGCAAAATGTATTTTCAAAACAATTTTCAATTACAAAACTTGATTTTTTACTTCCTGAAGAAGTCATATTTTTGTCAAAAAACAAGTAAACGTAACTCTTAGAGGTTTGACATTTTCAGGATAATTTACATATACATTATATCTACTCATAACACAACCCTTATTTGGTAGTTCTACGAATCATAGTATCTGATCTATTAACTCAATGTGACCTAGTTTTGAAAACAGAGAGGAATTCATTGAATTTGGGAAATGGTGATGACACTTTTCTCGTTGAAAAACGCAAAATTGGACTAATTTAAGATTGATCTTCACTGTTGTCCGAAATTGCTTACATTCTGCATTAGGCATGTTAGCCTATGTGGTTTATTATTAGACACCATACAATAAGCTCAACTGACACAACATCTGGCTTATAAATATTTGCGATATCAAGACCATATAGCGAATATTGAGAGTTATTCCATAAATCAGACATTATCAAGGAGTCATTTGCAGATGCTCTTTATTTACATATACTGGCTGAATTCAAATTCAAGTTTTACAGTGTCAATTCAACACAATTTTTTTGTCAGTTGTTGCAATTTCATTCATTCCATTCCATTGCAATTACCTTACAATACAGCTCATTATAAATTAATATAAACATTGCATCGGCGATATAAATGGTGAATAGTATTTATGAAAATTCATCATGAACAGCCTTATATTTGTTTTAATAATGTAAATAAAATAAAAAAAAGTCTCTACTATCCCTTAGGAGCTTTAGATAAAGAGATAAGAATGCACAAACTTTGTCAAAATCAAATTCTGTAAAAAATGGAACCCAATTCGCTAAATTCTACATATGATACATTCTCAAAACAAATATATGGCTATTATTTTAAGTATTTGACACTCAACTACATTTTCAAAAAATAAAATATCTATGTAATAATTATTATGTTATAATAAAGTAAAGTGTATGTTTGGAAGATTTGAAAAATGCACCTTATTAAATCTTAGCCAAAATCCCCAGGTATTTAGTTTTTGTACAAAAGGGCCAAAAAAAGTCTGTCGTTCATTTTAGTGATATAAAGTAATGTTCCATTTATAAGTATTTTAGTAATATATCACTAGTTGGATCTTGTGGGATGAAAAATTATGGTCTATTCAAAGTACTTTTAAATATACATATCACTAGTGTAATCTTAATTTTGTGAGATATTATCATGTTTCCAGTGAACAAATGTGTTCACTGGGACAACATCTCAAACTTTATAAGACTCATAAAATGTACTGAAACTTAAGTTTGATAATATCTTTGTAATAAGTTTCAATTGTTAACTTTTTTGATTTAGACGTTTGTCGGCTATTTTGGCTAAGTTGGCACAATCAAAGAACAGTTCAAATGCACAAGTTCTATAGAAACAATGGGTGGATTTGCTTCAGTGAAAGTTTTGTTCGACAAGTCGGACATTTGTGTTGTGCTTTAATAGAAGCTGTGATACAGTTTTTGCAAAATACATGTCCACAAGTTGTTGACATCAGTTGATTCTTCCTCCTGCTGATCTGAAAGAACAAATATAATTTGATACAAAATATGATAAAAAAGAGAGGGTATTATATATTGGGTAGAACAATGATGTCATGGGTTGTACCTATAGCAACAGGCCTTATTTATTCCTATTTTTGCTTTGACAGATATTGTTGTTCATATCTTACTAGAAAATGGCTGATTGAAGGCACAAATCAATATAATATATTTGATACAGGCCTATAATACAATATATTTGGTCTAATGTAACTGAATGAAGAGAGGAATCAGAAATACAATACCATAATTGTGATCTACTCTAAGATTTCTTCAATTTGAGTGTAAGTATAATAATATAGCCATGCTTTGAAGAGATCGGGAAATAATTGTGAAATCCCACATTAGGCGGGCATTTTGAATTTTCTGAGCTCTGGATAAGAAAAACCATACAATACTTGCAATCAACTCAAAATTGCCTTTCATTTGAGTTTAATAAATGAATAAATGCAGGGAGCTCACACGTCTCAAACTCAAAGTTATCCTTCAGAAAGATCTCAAAATTAACGAAAATTCCTGTTTTCCCTACCCCCTCCCATTCTCAAACTGGGGTTATTTTCTCAAACGATAACCTCAATGACTGCTATCATGTACTTACATTTTTGGCTGACTCCAAACAAACAGGACATGATATTGTCTTTTTAGCATCAGGGGAAGATTCTATGCTGTCATCACCACTCAGACTAGCAATACTGAAAGTGGAAACAAAGACTGGATTGAATGAAATAGGAAATTAAGCACACAAGTGCATCTCTATCAGAATCAAGATTATTTCACTGTTCCACAGAGGAGGCGAACCTCAGTTAGCATTACCACAAATGGTTGACAAAGTAATTTTGATTGCTGCAATTATTCCATTACATTTTTGCATGAATCTTGATGCCAAGTTCTTCATAAATCAAACTAAAAATAATATTGTTCATGAATTTACCAAGTTATGACATCTTGCTGTAACTGATTCAAAATTCAGCTTTACGAGCAAATTAACACAATGTAATATGGCAAATGAACCAGGTTTTCCACTGGTTGGCACATAAAATCAAGTCATGTGATTTTTTCAGAAGTAAAGCCATTTAAAGACTACATTGTACATATATTTATGGATTGTCCATGGCAATGTAAATTATGAGCGCAATGTTACTATTTTGATGTTACATGTATTGTCACCTAGAGTTTGAAGTTTCTGTGACCTGGAAATTAAGAGTTGTTTACCTAAATATGAAAACATAAGGAGAATGAGTGTTTTGGGACACCCTATATCTTACCTTTTATTATTAGCACCAGAGGCTGAACTCCCAGAGGCTGAAGTCCCAGGCTTTGGAGTCCTACTTCCCAGACCATATGTTGGCAAATCATCAGCATCATCATCAAGATCAGGCAATTCAAAGATAGAATCTTGGAGGCGACTACGTGGTTCAATAGATGGCAGCTCTAGTATTGAGGCATCTTGCTGTCGTTGACGATTCAGTCTCCGTCTCCTTCTTGGGGATGGCCCTAATTGATTCAAAAATAATGCATCAGCTTTATCATAAATCAACTGACAAGCCTCGATACATGGTCTAAGTCTTTTTCAAGTACAGTATGTGCTTTTAATACAAGGAAAAAACCATGCAAATGTCCCATTTCTGAAATGAGAGACACAAGAAGATGGATTAAAAATAAGACCCTAATTCACATTTATGTGGAGAATTCAGAATTATATAGGTAGCATGGTTCTTAGAGAATAGAGAGAGCTTTGGATTGGGAGGGTCTTATTATAATTTTTTAAATTTGAGATTTTCCCCATATTTAACTCACCATTGTCGTCATCAGCAGAAGGGGTTTCTTCACGACCAAGCACCTGGGAATAATCTATGAATATTAATACTGTACATGCATTGATTCCCGCAGCACTAGAACAACTGGTGATGAACCCTGTTGAAAGTTTGAAAGTTACATGCCACATTGTCAATTTGCAAGTATGAAATATTGTACTTTTTACAAAATTTGAGATGAAATTAAGATTTTGTGTCTTGTTGATAAATGACTATGTACTCTGTATACTGTTTGATTCCAAAACCTATCTGATCTACAATGCTATTTTCTGCTACACCTTTGCGTAGTACAATTACAGACTTCATTGGTAAGATACAATACAGAGCCAACCTGTAGAAATGAGGGTTCAAATTTTGATTATATTACTACATTTTATGACAATATTTATCTCACCACAATAGGGCTATCATTGACACTGGTGAGGTCAACAATAGAAACATTGTCACCAGGTACAGGATCATCATCTTCAGTTAAGTCAATACATGTTGTATTCGCAATGACATCATCAACAAGGTCATCATTAGATTCCTGTTGAGGAAGACGCATAGAGGCTCTTGTGCGCCTTCTCGGTCTTCTAGTCTGTAAATACACAAAGCGGCTTAGTTGAATGGAGTTAAGCTGAACTGAACAGGTAAAACAATATTGTGATAGGTGCGTACAGTCATTAATGCACATTGCCATCTTGCAAGCGAATTTTTTATTTATATTGCGTTTTTGGCGAATTGTGAGTGATATCTACCAGGACTGCAAGAAGTATAAAATTAGTAGTTAGGCTGATTACTCTAGTTTCAAGAAATAGGTTAATGTGATTTTAAAGGTAATTCTGCAAGTTCAGAAATTTAAAGGCGAACGTTAATGGTCCGTTGTGTTCTTTATGTTGTTGATCAATGGAGTTATTTGCAAGTGCAATCAAAGCAGACAGAGCGAGCAACATACATGTAAGAGTCCCATCTATTTCATCACATACAGTACGGGTATTGTCAATGCTAGATCTTGTGTGATCAAAATATAAACATCCATCGCCATTTTGGAATAAAATATGAACATATCCAGCTCACCGAACTAAGTAAGCATACATGTACCTTTATATACATGTATTCTCACAAGAAGAAAATTATCTGTAAAACCATGGGCATTCAATAGAACTTTCGATTTATTTTCACCAGATATATTAATGTACATGTATGCAAGCGGATAGTCTGTATTCTTAAGTATGGACCAGTGGAGATTCTATATAGAATGTAGAGCTCTGCCCACATTGGTAAATAGAGGTTCATCTCTATGTAAAGATATAGCTTCATCTTTGAATTTTGGGATTTCCTCTAAAATTTGGGTAGATCTGGTAATTAATTTTGTTTAGCAATCACAGAAGAAGGAGAATACGGCAGAAGGCACTCATAAATTCTTCAACTCAAACCGACCAATTTCGGTCAACAATAATCGGTTAGAAAAACCTAGCATCGGCTGTCTGCCCTTGTCCCTTCCTACTAATAATGCACAGATGGCAGAATTTTTCTTTGGAAAAACATAAAGAAATACTACATTTATTTAGGATGTATTTCCTTAGAAAAACTCTGCCATCTGTGAATTCTGTGTAATAATGCCCAGACAAGGCCTAAATGGGCGATAATAGGTCTACTAATTCCATGTACTCCATTCACTCTCTACGATTTAGAATATCTTTGAACTTACCGTACTCATTGCACAATTTGAACTTAATGCTCCACAGCAAGAGTATTTATATGATTTTTAACCTTACATATCAGCTATTAGTCAACATTCGTTTATTTGTCAAACTTTACAAAATAAAATCCGGAAACTTCTCCGCGCATGCTCAATGACCTAATTTTTTCCATCCATATTTTCCGCCACATTTTCCAACTTCGTCTATCCTTAGACAAGCGCGTACAGATGCAGAGGCAACATATGAATCTGTGAATAGGTGAGTTAAAATCTTAACATTAGTCTTATCAACAAATGACAATGCTTCATGTGTTTTGCTACAACGTGCAAGAGGATGGGCTCCCACTTCTCAGGGTTCCATTTTTCCATGGGCTTTCAACTAGAAGGGTAGGCAACTTCCCATATTTCATACATAAACATTGCCATGGGTTTTCAAAATTGGAGAATGTACACATTCCAAGAAAATCTTATTTTGTACTTTTTATTGATGATTAAAAGAAACAACTCAAAAATAAAAACATGATCTTCTACATACATCTTGATAATTTAATAAAAATTGGAATTCATCATAATTATGACAATACAGAAAGTGAACATTCTCCCACAAATTATGTTTTTATTGGAATGTGTTCTTGAATAATTACCCACAATGCAATACTCAAAGAGAACATCTTGATAACTCTTATTCTTATTGGTCTCTTTTGTTTACTTTTATATGATATTGAATATATTTTATGCTTAAATCATATTAAAAATTGATTTTTATTCAAAATAATACTAAAACATATACATTTATCTAATACTTTTTGAAATATTGCCATAAAAGGGAAGCATGTCATTGCTCATTTTGAAGGTCTCATGTTATTACATAGAGTTGCATACCCTTCTAGTTGAAAGCCCATGATTTTTCCAATGGGCCATTCCATTTAAAAAATGTACGGGGGGTATGGATGCACAGGCTGAGACACCCCCCCCAGAATTTTTTTTCTTGCTACCCCCCCCAGAAAATTGCATCCATACCACCCCCCCCCCCCCCCCCCCGGAAATTTGCATCCATACCCCCCCCCCCAGAAATTTGCATCCATACCCCACTCCCCTGGAAAATTGCATCCATACCACCCGAAACACACAAAATCCCCCTTGAGAAACAATATAAAGGTTATAAGTTATAAGTTGCTCCTACCATTGAAATAGGCAATCAGTTTGCAGAATTTACAAATTAGTGTTAAGGTGCTATGGAAGTTAACAGGAAATGACAAAACAGGAAGTGACATTTTTTTTTGCATTTTTATATATTTTTGGAATAAAGATAACAGAGTTCTGGTTTGACCTCCAGTCAATTTAACTATTTCCACATATCATTTACATGACCAGGATCACAATGTGCATGGTCAGAATGACCCTAAACATGATGAAATAACCGTTTTAGCCCTTTGAAAGTGTGACTGAAAAAAGCTAAAAGTAGGAGCGTAGGGAAGGTCACTGAACAGAATCTTTTGAATTTTTCAGAAAATGTGCCCAATATATTGCTCTAAATGATACAATCTTTGAAAATTTGATATCATTCATAGAAAAAGAAAAAAAATGAAAAAACTGATTTAAAAAACGATCTATTTTCCTTTTTATGACCGCCATTTTTGTTTAAGACAATTTTCTAAAATTTCAAAGATTGTACTAGTTAGAGCATTATATTGGGCACATTTTCTGAAAAATTCAAAAGATTCTGTTCAGTGACTATCCCTACGCTCCTACTTTTAGCTTTTTTTCAGTCACACTTTCAAAGGGCTAAAAAGGTTATTTCATCATGTTTAGGGTCATTCTGACCATGCACATTGTGATCCTGGTCATGTAAATGATATGTGGAAATAGTTAAATTGACTAGAGGTCAAACCAGAACTCTGTTATCTTTATTCAAAAAATATCTAAAAATACAAAAAAAATTATCACTTCCTGTTTTGTCATTTCCTGTTAACTTCCATAGCACCTTAAGGACAGGGTGCATGTTGGAAAATTTTCTGCATTCCTCAATTGAGTCACATGTTATTTTTCAAACATGAATAACTCCTTCCCCACATTGTCTACATCTTCCAAGTTTTCACAAAGAGTGCACTTCTGTGCCTAGAAAAGCATTGTGAGAAGGTTTATTTTGTAAAATGTATAAAAAATGAGAAAATTCAGTGAAAAAAAATTTTGAAAATTTTCTGATTTTTTTCATTGAATTTTCTTGTTTTTTATACACTTTATCAAAACATTCTTCTCACAAGTCTTTTCTAGGCACATAAGTGCACTCTTTGTGCAAAACTGGAAGATATAGACAATGAAGGGAAGGAGTGATTCTTGTTTGAAAAATAACATGTGACTCAATTGAGGAATGCAAAAAATTTCCCATCATGCACCCTGACCTTAAAGGCACATGTTCATGGAAATACCCATGTTATCAAGGTGTATACAATAGAACCACATGTTATATTTCACAAGTCCAAAAATATCTGCACCAGCTATGCACATATTTCTTACCTCATTATTGATTATTTTGTTTATTTAATTATTTCTCTCAAGACTTCAAAGTTTCTGTATTGTATCTATTAATTGTATCTGTATTGTTATATGTTATATTATATGTAATTTTGGTTGCTCTGCAACACATTTTGAAATAAGCACTGATACGCCCAATTACTAAGGGTGTCGAGTGCACACGTTTTGTACTTTACATTGTTATATTATGAAATAAACTATAACTAAACTATAACTATAGTATCCAACAGACTGAGTGTGAACTCAGTTTGTTATCCTTATTTTCTGTCGTGTGGTTATTGCGGTGAATTGTATTGCACAAAATTATCAATTCATTAGAGGAAGCATTACTTCAATAAAATAAACATTATGAAAATTCAATTAGGTAGTAAGGTACAATTAAATGACATAAAAAGTAACACAGAATATTGTCTACAATCAAATTTTTTATTCTGTCAATCAGTTCATATGGTTAGAATAAGGAAAGAATGTGATGTAACCACGTGTCTACTTACTAGCTTGTTCTATGTCATCCATCGGACTAGGTTACATCGTGGAACGCAGCCGAACAGGACGCTGAAGGCAACAGCATATCTATCTTGATCTTAGCCGAATTTTTGGAAATTTAGATCGTCCATTTTGCAAGCTCACGTGACTGACACGTGACACATGTCTGATCACGTGACTAGTTACTGTATCGATCATGTGACTTAATCACGTGTCAATGACGTGTCACCCAATCATGTCTTCAAGGAAATCGGAAGTAAATATTTTGGAAAATGTTTTCCGAGCATTTGCTACTGATTATAGAAGGCCCAATTACGCAACGAACGAAACTGCTAAATTGTTTTCGTGCCTAACATGCGCAGTACGCAATGAAAGAAACTGCTAAATTGTATTTTTAGAGCTGTTTATTGATCTATTGATTCATAAAGACCTGTAATGATGCATTCAAATAAGACCGCCTCCTAAATGAAAACAGTACACATAAGGTGGTGAAAAAACAACGAACTAAAGTTGAAAGATCGCAACGTTCGCTACTTTGTTCAATTCCGGAAATCTCCAAGGGGCTGCAAATGGGAAATTATTTAGATTTAGATTTTATAACCTCAGAATACTGGCTTCATTGTCGTGTTTGGCTGCGTTCCACGATGTAACCTAGTCCGATGGATGACATAGAACAAGCTAGTAAGTAGACACGTGGTTACATCACATTCTTTCCTTATTCTAACCATATGAACTGATTGACAGAATAAAAAATTTGACTGTAGTCTAAGAAAGCTACATGTAGTGGAACTTAAAAATAATTTAAATATGCAAATTAATTTACTACATCAGTCACTTTGAATTATAATTTACATTAAAAAGATATGTTTGAACAACAACATTTAACATAGGCCGTTTACAGTCTGAGTATTTCCAACTAAATTTCAAAAAATACCGTCTAGAGGATGTAGTCTACTCAATTGATTCTATACACTAGCTTGAACATTCTCTCAAAGCTACAGCTGTCTTTTGAAATACTGGTTGATTTAAAAAGTATGCGATTTGAGCAGCCGCAACTTTTGGGCTTTGAGAGAACACTTAGGCTGGTCTTTAGATTAAATTGAAGTAAGAAATATGTACATAGCTAGCACCGACTTTTATGTATTTTGATAAATAACATAATGTTCTTTGGATTTGGTCTGCATAACCTGAGATTTTCTTGGCACAAGATAATTACCAGGCTTACTCAGTTACTTAAAGAAGGCAATGCAAAGATAATTTCCTGAAAAAAAACAAAGAAATAAAACACATGCCTTCATACTATATTTTGTACCAGAAATTTTCAAAATATTTCCATATACAAGTGCCTTTAACAGAATGTCAGTAAGTCATACGCTCAGAATGAATTATTGCTTATATTACTGTAACAGGATATTTCTAGGTCAACTTTTTTGCCTTAGCTATGGTGGTTTTGATGACATCTAGTCTCAACAGTATATTTTCACGTACTAGTTAGCACAAAAAGTGTATATATAGTATCAAAGATACAATCTGATTGAATTAGTCTGAAAATATTGCTGGTAGTTTGAAGTAACCTTCCTCAATAATGTAGACAAAATGAGTGAAGTAATTTTGACTACCAGAAATTAGTGTACCTATTACACGGGTAGTATCTAAAGCCCCGCTATGATTTAAAAATCGCGAGCAAGTTCCCGCTGAAATCGCGAGGAATAAGAAGAAGTCATGTGTTCTTTTTGTGTTCTTGAATTGTATGATTTACAAAACGTTTTCTTTTAATTTTTCCCAATGATTACATGGTATTGAGACTAAAAAAGCAACTGCTGGAAAAAATGTATCACGAGCGGTCGTTCTGTGGTTGTTATTTGTCAATTGAAGAGAGAAAGTATCTTTTTGAATCTTTATCTATATATTTCTATTCGTTATTGGTGAAGAACGATGTTGTCCTGTGGTTGAAATAACGATAGTGATATGAAATAAAGATGTACCGAGTTTCACTTCCTAAAGCTTTACAGAACATTTTATATTTAAATTTGATCATATCCCTCAAGGCCCCGCTTCTAGCAGGAGCAATTAAGCAAAGATCCCGCTGAAATCAGGAGGAGGCCCCGCTGAAAACATGAGGAGGTCCCGCTGAAAACAGGAGCAAGTGTCTCTCAAAAATGGAGTGAATCCCGATTATACCCTGAAAATCTCCCACTTTCGTACCCACCTTCGTCCACTATTGTACCCAGTTTGATG